GAGTTATATCCAATTGTCGATGAAACTGAGCAAATTTGTAGAGGAACTAATCATTTATAAAATATTGAATGGGATTATATCGTTGAATTCTGTGCCGACTAAACAAATATCATTTAATATAATTTTTGTTGAGATTTCTACGTAGGTTGATTGTCAAGGTTCGAGATTATTGAGAGAATAATTATAAAAAATATCTAACTCGAACCGAAAAAAACTAACGAACTTTCTGTCTGCTCGTTGAATATTTCTATTTTAAATATAGTCTATAGATATTTTGACATACCTGTTTCTCTCAGCTTCTGACAATAAATTCAAGATAAATCATCATTTTATTTTCACACGGTGATTAAAATGTTTAATCCATTGATTTCGACTAATTTCAACGTCGATTGATTTGAAATTTATCTCATTATATTAAATCTAGTTTCTCTACGATTTGCGTGTCATTTGAGTTTTTTTTCTAAATCAATCAAAAATTCTTTTTCTTTAATATTTTCTACTAGATTTTTCTTATATTTTTAATAAAATTGTATAAAAATCTTGTTTATTAAATGGTATTTTATCGAATATATATGGTTAGGAAGAGTAGGAAGCCTCAATTAAATTGAAAATAAAAAAAAAACGCTAAAAGTAAAACAAATGATATATGTCTAGATTTTATTTAATATAAAAAGAAAAAAAATTTATATATATATGTTAATTAAATATTTAATTAAAAATAAACTTGTTATTTATCGAAATAAAACAATTATAATTAATCAAATAAATTCAATTCTATCATGATCATCACCTGGAGGATTTATAAAAGCGATATTTATTTGTTTATCATTACTAAAAAAAAGAAAAACATATGAAAATAATAAAAAAGAAAAAAAAACGATGAAAATAATATCTAACCTAGAGAATTTTTTTCTTATTTTAATAATGATTAAACCAGTTAACCATCTAGCTGCAATATATCCAATAAATCCAAAAAAAATCGAACAAACCATTGGTGAAATTGAACTAATAAAAAATGTTGAACCAACCATTATTCCAGCTATTGACATTCCAAATGCAGATAAACTTCCAAAACCTGATTGAATCATTTCTTGAATATAATCTTCAGGTGTTATTGCACATTTTCGAGCTAAATTTTTTGAACGATCTTCTTCATAATAATAATAAATAAATAAACGAATAGATAATATTAATCCTTCTAATGTAAAAGCTGTTAGAGCAGCTAAACCATTTCCTAACAATATTTTTATTTTTCAATTATATATATATATATATAAGAAAAAATTTTTATTTAATTATTATCAATTATTATATTGATAATCATTTGCTTTTTTTTTCTCAAATTTCTAATTATATTTATTTAATATAATATAGAAATAAAACAAAAAATATATATTGATAAATGAGAGTGATTTATTTTATTTGAATATATCAATAAAACTAGTCGAATATATCTATAATAACAATCAACTTTTATTATTTATCGAATAAATAAAAAATTATTTCTTTTTTTTTCTTTTTGAGACAGTCAAGACTATTTCAAATATTCGATTTATTAAATAAACTATTTTTCTTCAATAATTATTCTTAATTATTTCAAGAATTTTTACTGAAAATTTCTATTGAATTAATAAAAAAAGAATTTGTTTTTTGTTAAAGATTGATTTAATTAAAATTCTTCGAATTTTTCTATAAATGTTAATAGATCTATTAAATATAGATAGAAATCACTAATAAATAAAATTTTTATATATTTATCTAACTATTTTATATATTTATTTAAAATAATCGTTACCTTTTATAATCGTATCTAAAGGTACTCCAGAAATAAATTCACCTGATAATTCTAAAATAATATTAATTATATATAAAATAAATGTGGAAACCTCGGATTTAAATCCGAGAGTTATGTGTACTTCAAAAAGTGAATGAGACAGATGAGTCACCCTAGAATGTGGACATCAAAATTGTCCTGGCAAACCCTTCCTGTAAACACTTAATTTCTATTGGCTATTGCTCAGCCAATACGATTTGGAGGCGAACGGAACATAGATCCGAGTTCTCCATTCTAGAAAACCTCGAACTATCATCTCTGTGATGGGAAGATAGAGCTCTAATTGTGGATCACATAGAGCGTGGACAAAAACAGAACCGAATTCCGATTAATTATCTTTACAACAGGCGAGTTAGCTTTCTTGTTTCTTTATGTTTTATATACCATTTTGTAGCTCGTGAAATTCTCTATCGAATGGTATGTAATAGTTGGGGTTTTATATGACTATGATAGGAAAAGTTTTTTATGAAAGCAGAGAAGGGTCTATCTTCTCATAGGGAAAAATGACTATTTTTGCAATAACTCAGCAATGGTTCGGCCAATCATTCTCATCTTCGAACTCGACTGAGATATTGTTAAGACTAAACTGTGTAGAAAATTTCATCGCGATCGGACTCTCCTTTCAAAAGTTATCGTGTTAACGGCCGGACGGACGGACGGCCGGACGGACACACTGACCGATTCTAGAGTGTACTCACTTTTTGAGTACACAATAATGGTAAATTTAATAAAATAGTTACGTCGAATAATTTGAAAAGTAAATTTGGTAGCATTATACATTCCATTTATAAAAAAACATTTAACACCATTACAAGCCATAAGAACTTGTTCACCTAATACATAATCAACACTTGTTGAACAAATAAATGCAAATTGTTCACAATTTTTAATAACAAGACTATAACTTTTCCATATATCTCTTTGGTTTTTATCATTATATATAAATAAAGCATTTTTAACAATAATATCTTGAGATAATCTATCTGTTAAATAACATGTTCCACTTCTATTTAAATAATAATCCATTGGATCTGTTTTATATTTAGCATAAGATATATCATGAATATAATTAAATGGATGTTCACAACGAAATTGTTTTAATGTAACAATAGCTAATCCATTTAAATTTTGTTCAACAATCATTAAATCTTCTAAATATGTTGGAATTAATCCTGGAGAAAGATAATTAATAATATCTTCTTTTGATACAACAATTCCATGATGTTGATAAGTTCGAATTTTACGCCAAACATATAAATGATCACCACGACGTGGAATATATTCTGTCATCGAATTTTATTCACTTTTTAGATTTCAACAACTACTTTTTTTTATTCAACATTCAAATTAATTTATTATTTATAGAATCTTTTTCTTTTTCTACTCTAAATATAAGATAAATTTCTCTTCTATTTAACAACGAGAGAAAAACAAAATCGAGTGTTGTTCTTTCCATAAATCAATATGTTTACTGCGAATAGGAAAGAAATAAACCAATGAAATAAATCGAAATTGATCATCAGATATTATTTTATCTTGAAAATAATTTACTATTTTATTTTATTATTTACAGAACAAAAAATTTACAAATTTTAACAATTTTATTTTTTTAAATTAAATAATAAATAATAAATAATAATCATTAATTAGAATAATATAAAATAAAATTCAATTATTTTATTTATTTATCATTAATTAATAATCTCGATTATGAAATTTTTTTATTTTAATATAAATTATATTTTTATTCTAATTATCATTTTAAATCTAGTTAAACAATCTATAATTATTAAATATTTTATTTTTAATCAATTGTATTATTCAACTAGAGAATAATGAAAATGTTCGAATAAATATTATTTAATTAACTTAAAACAATTTCAACCAGTTTTAACGATTCATCTTTAATTATTCCACAATAATATTTCCTCACTGATTATCAAACAAATTAACCTTATTATTTCATCTTTATCTTCATTAACTAATATATTCGAATTTTGACGAAAATTTACAGTTTGAAACATCCTTTTACGTATTCCATAAATATGGTTTACTCAACATGCTCATATTTACAAGTGAAATCTACTCTTGAAGATCTCGAAATTTCTATGATAATTATCATCCGATTTCAACCAACAATTCGAAGATAAGGTTGACTTTTAGTCGAGATAAAATCAAAAATCTAATAGATTAGAAATCATTATTTTATAATTCAATATGATAAGATAATCCAATGTTTACTATTAGAAATTATTATTTTGACTTGTCAGAATTGTATCAACGTCTTTTCTATTTATAATTAATAGTTGAGATATGTTATATCCTAAACGAGCCATTATAGAGACAACAACCGATAGTTACTTTTCTTTTTTTATCTTGGTAACTGGTTTTAGTATTAGTTATTCTTAGAATAATTATTATATATCAACAAGATACTAACCTTTAACAGTTAACATAATATCGGTATCAATAGGGCGAAGAGAAAAGGTCAAATGTAAGAAAAAAAAACCTATGGATTTCATCGAATTTGAAATGCAGACGTTCTATTATCGATAGAGTAGAGTATAAAGGATATATTTATTTCAGTTTATCGTCGATATTTATTGATAATCAATGTTCGGGTATGGATATCGCTCTATTAATAAAGATTTTCACTTCAACATTGATAGATCCTCATTTTCAATATTATTATCAACCATTAACAATAAATTTGACAAATTATTTTTCTAGAAAACTTTCGACTTTAAACTTTTTTTTTTTTTTTTTTTTTTGTTTTTTTTTATATATTATGGATATGACAACCGATAAAAACAAGACGATGAAATAGATCGATTTTTTAACATGTTTCAGATAATAAAAAAAAAGATGTTGAAGAATTGTTAAGATTTGTAATGTTATCTTGTTAATTAATATTAAATATAATCATATTATAATCAGTTAAATAAATATAATATAGAAAAATATATTTTATTAAATTATTTTTTCTTTTTTATTTTCATTGATTAAAAAAAATGATTTATAGAATAAATCGAAGATAATTTATAATTAAATTCTATCATATTGATAAATATATTTTACATAATGAGTAAAGATCGAATATGATTTATATTGAAAATAAATATATTAAATATGATACTCTCTCTTATTATTTATATTTAACTAGAATAAATAAATCCTCCGAGACATTTTCTATAGATTATTTTACAAAGAATATAATTCACGTCTATTTAGACGATTTATAAACATTTTTTTCTTTCGACCTTTATTATTTCTATAAAATAAATCAAATTTATAATTGGTTTGCTACTCTCGAGAAATAAAATATCGAACGTTTTCTATTCATCGAACGGGATTGATTTATCTCAATGTACATGAGAGATTTTAATTAAAGAATATTTTCAAAGGATATATTCAATAGTGACAATACTCATATTAAAAAAAAAAAGAAATCTTTATCAGACTATAACCAATTTTTATTTAACTCTCATGCTCTTCTCAGGATAATATAAAACAACATTTTTTTTTTTATTTACATTGATTATTTTATCTTTAACTATTTTTCTTCTCTATAGAATTATTTTTAAATTCATCGAAAAATCAACGATTTTTATCATAGAATCCAACATTCCATTCTTAATTCAAGGATACTTTAGAAAAATAAATCATTTTTCAACTAATCAATATCTAGCAAATAATATTTATATCTGATTGATATATAAAAAATTTTCATTCTTTTTATTTCTTCAATATAAATAATTATTTAAATATTTATATAGATTTTATAGATAATTAAAAAAAACAGTAAACAACTCTTATTCAATTATTTAAATTCAATTATTTAAATATGTCTATTTATTCTAATAATTAGTTTTTTTCTTTATCTATTTCATCCTATTATCTATTCAAATCTAGCCTTAATTTTAAAACTAGTTCTATCTACTTTTCATTTTAACCACTCATTACTCATTTCGACCTTGTTTAAATCTATCTTATAATCACTTTTATATATAGAGACTAGTCTTCATTATAATAACAAAATCAATTATCATTTTTATTCTAACTAGAAGAGAATCTAGTTGAATAGAACTATTTTATA